CAGTTGCTGTGGAATCTGATGATAGCCACCAAGCCCTCACTATGGAACTCTATCTCAATTTTCCTGCTACATCCAGCAGGTGTCCACAGCACAGCCAGCTCATAGTAGGCTTCACTGAAGCAGCTTCTAGGAAAGTGAGCCACACTCCAGGGTAGGATCTGAAGTATAATTGTAATCCTAATTAGTCTTAACAATGAAAACCTGGAGTCAGATATTGATGGTGAAAGCTGAAAGATCAGAGAAGCAGAGCAGCAGCCACTAGAGACTTCTTACCTCTATGAATCCTCAGAATGAATGGGCCAGGCTCCTGTCTCCTCCTGCCTTATATTCTTCTCTCCACCCAGCCATATCACTTCCTGTCTCCAGCTACTAGTGCTAAGATTAAAGGCATGTGCCTCCTACTTCCTGGCCTTTATACTCAACTAGTGGTTAGTTCTTCCTTGTTGTATTCTATGACAGAACCAGATTTAATTAATATCTAGCCACAAACCCAGCCCTACACAAGGTGCTAGAAGGAAAACTTCAACTCAAGGAAGTTAGCTACATTCACAAAAACACAGACAATAGATGATTTCACAGTAGCAAATTCAAAAGAAGGGAAACACACACACACACACAATAACATCACCAACAACAAAAACTAAAATAACAGGAACTAACAATCACTGGTCATTAATATCCCTTATTATAAACAGATTCAACTCATCCATAAAAAGACAAAGGCTAACAGATTGAATACAAAAACAGAATCCATCATTCTGCTACATACAAAAAACAAGCCTCAACCTCAAAGACAGACATCGCCACAGAGTAAAGAGTTGGGAAAAGATTTCCCCATCAAATGGACCTAAGAAATAAGGTAGTGTATCTATCCTAATATCCAACAAAACGGACTTCAAACTGAACTAAAACAAAAGAGATGAAGAAGGAAATTTTATATTAGTCACAGGAAAAAGTCCATCAAGAGGAAATCTCACTACTGAACATCTATGTCACAAATACAAGGGCACCTTCATATGTTAAAAAAAAAACTACTAAAGCTTAACTCACATATTAAACCCCACACACTAATAGTGGGAGACTTCAACACCCTATTCTCACCACTGGATAGGTCTGCCAGACAGAAACTTAACAGAGACATAAGAAATAACAGATGTTATGACTCAAATGAACTTAACAGACATCTATAGAACATTCCATCCAAACATAAAAGAATATACCTTCTTCTCAGCACCTCACAGAACCTTCTCAAAAACTGACCACATACTAAGTAACAAAATAAACCTCAACAGATACAAAAATTTAGAATAACCCCATGTATCTTATCAGATCACCATGGCTTAAAATTAGAATTCAACAGCAACACTAATTCTAGAAAACCCCAAAACACATGGAAATTAAATAATGCTCACCTGAATTATCAATGGATTGAGGAAGAAATAAATGAAGAAACTAAAGACTTCCTAAAACTTGATGAAAATTATCACACAATATATCCAAATTTATGGGACACAATGAAAGCAGTATTACAAGGAAAGTTCATAGCATTAAATGCCTACATAAAAAAATCTGCAAAAAATCCCACACCAGTGAGTTAACAGAACTCTTGAACTGTAAAACAAAAAGAAGCAAACTCACCAATGAGGACTATATGGCAGGATATAAACAAATTGAGAGCTGAAATCAACAAAAATAGAAACAAAGAAAACAATATGAAGAATCAATGAGACAAAGAGTTGGTTCTTCGAAAAGATGAACAAAATAGACAAACCCTATCAAACTAACCAAAGCGAAGAGAGAGAATATCCAAATTAACAAATTCAGAAATGAAAAAAGGGATATAACAACAAACATGGAGGAAATCCAGAGAATCATTGGGTTCTACTTCGAAAAACAGTACTCCACAAAATTGAAAACATTAAAGGAAATGGACAATTTCTGGATAAATATCACTTACCAAAATTATACCAAGATCAGTTAAGAAATTAAATAGACCTATATAACTATAAATATAACTGCCTATAACTGCTAAGGAAATAGCAACAGTTATCAAAAGTCTCTCAACCCCCACCACCCCAAAAAGCCCAGGACTAGATGGTTTCAGTGCAGAATTCTACAAGATTTTCAAAGAAGAATTATTACCAATACTCCTCAAATTGTTCCACACAATGGAAACAGAAGGAACTTTGCCAAACTCTTTTTATGAGGCTACAATTACTCTGATACCCAAACGACACAAAGACATTACTAATAAAGAGAATTACAGACCAATCTCACTCATGAACATTAACACAAAAATACTCAATAAAGTACTGGCAAACACATCAGAAAAATCACCCACAATCAACTCAGCTTCATCCCAGAGTTGCAAGGATGACTCAACACACAAAAGTCTGTCAATGGAATCTACCATATAAACTGAGAAAATAAAACCCACATGATCATCTCATCAGATGCTGAAAAAGCCTTCAACAAAATACAACGTCTTTTCATATTAAAGGTCTTGGAGAGAGCACGGATAAAAGGGACAAAAACCAAACATAATAAAGGCAATATACAGCAAGTCACCAGCGAACATCAAACTAAATGGAGAGAAAATCAAAGTGATCCCACTGAAACCAGGAGCAAGACAAGGTTGTCCACTCTCTCCATATCTATTCTATATAGTACTTGAGGTTCTATATCTATTCCATATAGTACTTGAGCAATAAGACAACAAAAGGAGATCAAGGGGATACAAATCAGAAAAGAAGTCAAACTCTCACTATTTGCTGATGATATGATAGTTTAAATAAATGACCCCAAAAATTCTACGAAGGAACTTCTACAACTCATAAACACCTTCAGTAATACAGCAGGATACAAAATTAACTCAAAAAAATCAGTAGCCCTTCTTTATACAAATGATAAATGGACTGAGAAAGAAATCAGAGAAACATCACCCTTCACAATAGCCACAAATAGCATAAAATATTTTGGAGTAACACTAACCAAACAAGTGGAAGACTTGTATGACAAGAACTTCAAATATTTGAAGAATGAATTTGAAGAAGACACCAGAAAATGGAAAGATCTCCCACGCTTTTCCGTAGGTAGAATTAACATAGTAAAAATGACAATCTTACCAAAAGCAATCTACAGATTCAATGCAATGCCTATCATCCCAGCAAAATTCTTCACATACCTCGAAAGAACAATACTCAACTTCATATGGAAAAGCAAAACACCCAGGATAGCCAAAACAATCCTGTACAATAAAGGAACTTCTGGAGGCATCATAATCCCTGACTTCAAACTCTACTACAGAGCTACCTACAGTACTGAAAAACTACAAGCAGAAAAACAGACAGGAGCACCAAAGGAATCAGTCCACATACCTATGAACACCTGATTATTGACAAAGAAGTAAAAAATATAAAATGGAAAAAAGAAGGCATATTTAACAATTGATATCATACCGGATATCAACATGTAGAAGGAAAATTGGTACATATCTATTGCCATGCACAAAACTAAAGTCAAAGACCTCAACATAAAACCAACCACACTGAACATATTAAAGAAAAAGTGAGAAGTATGCTTGAACGTTTTGGCACAGGAGACTACTTCCTAAATATAACCGCGGTAGTACAGAAATAATAAATAGAACTCCTGACACTGAGAAGCTTCTGTAAGCAAAGGATATGGTCAACAACACAAAACGGCAACCTACAGAATGGGAAAAGATCTTCCCCAACCCTAAATCGGACACTGGCTGATTTCCAAATATACAAAGAACTCAAGAAATTGGTCATCAAAAGAACTAATAATGCATTAAAAAATGGGGTATAGACCTAGACAGAGAACTCTCAACAGAGGAATCTAAAATGGCTAAAAGACATTTTTAGGGAAATGCTCAACATCCTTAGCCACCGGAGAAATGCAAATCAAAACAACTCTGAGATTCCATATTACAACTGTAAGAATGGCCAAGATCAAAAACACTGATGACAGCTTGTGCTGGAGAGGATGTGGGGTAAAGGGAACACTCCTGCATTGCTGGTGGGAATGCAAACTGGTACAGCTACTTTGGGTATTAGTATGGCGATTTCCCAGAAAATTAGAAAAAAATCTACCTCAAGATTCAGCAATACCACTTTTGGGTATATACTCAAAGGATGCTCAATAATGCCACAAGGACATATGCTCAGCTACGTTCATAGCAGCATTGTTTATCATAGCCCAAACCTGGAAACAACCTAAATGCCCCTGGACCAAAGAATGGATAAGAAATATGTGATACATTTACCCAGTGGAGTACTACACAGCAGAAAAAAAAATGCCATCTTGAAATTTGCAGGCAAATGGGTGAATCTAGAAGACATTATCTTGAGTGAGGTAACCCAGACCCAGAAAGACAAATATAATATATACTCTACACTGTAAATTCATGGTCCTTGATTATACAAACAGTCTGGAAAAGAAGCATTTTAAAGAAAACCTTGAATAAGTTGGTATGAAGATGTACTGAAATGGAAAGTTTGTAACCGTGGAAAAACAGGTTATGAACTGCAACGCATATCATGGTGCGGCTGTGTTAACCATGTGTAATAAGTGTACACGCATTAGTAACACATGACACATAAAGATCTGCAAGTATGAAGGGGTAAGGATGGTTTGTTTCCCCCTGAGGTCGGGGCTGAGATCCTGATAAAAAAACTCCACTCTCACTCTCCTTCTAGACCAGCGTGAATCTGCGCTCCAGCTCCCGGTTTTCCACAGCAGAGAACTCAGTCCTCAGGCAGAGGCAGCAGCTCAGGGCTGCAATCCCCTGGGCCAGGCGGGCAGGCAGGCAGTGAGGAGTTCCACCCAGGGCCCAGGAGGAGGGCTTAGCTGAAGAGAGAAGAGCAGCTGGACAGTCCAATCCAACAGTGAGCTCAACCTGGCAGCGTGCCAAAGACCTGCTCCCTCCCCCCCACCACCCCACTAGAAAGAATCCTACAGTTTCGTTTTCCCACAAAGCAAGCAAGGTATTGGAAGGTAGAAGGATTGCTTTAAGTAGCTGAGTAGGATCACCGCCAAACCCACGCGGGAGCCAGCTCTGCTTCAATGGCCTTACAGGCAGCTGCCCAATCTACCACTGGAATGTCACCCCACAAGCAGGATTTGCGCCAGAGGCCACGTCCTAGAAGGAAAAGGTTCGTACCGGTTTCCAAGTTCTCCTTTCTGAGGCAGCCAGGGGAAACAGAGCCAGAGGACTGAGTCCTTTCTGCAGATCGCAGATCTGAAGCGGCAAGGGCTGGGACAGGGTCGGAGGGAAGGGGGAGGCAGAGGGAAGGACCTGGGAAGAGCTTTTCTCCTCTTGAATGAGTTCTATCCCGTCTTCTGTCACTCTTATAGCATTTCATTAGATTCGATAAATAGACTGATTGGTAGATGCAGACCTCTGGGCAGGTGACAGAGCGCTGGGAGGGAGGAAGACCAGGGAGGAGGAAGAATGGCGGCAGAGACCAAGATAGGAACCAAAAATACCAGGAACAATCCGAAAGCTCAATATGTTTAAAGTTTAGGATGATAAAGCTTAGTTCATTAAATACATTCTGAGTTTCAAGTTTCCCGGTATTTAGTAGACTTCTATTGGTCTCTTCTTTTCTGCGGCTTTGGCGGGAAGCGGAGCCAACCATTGGAAAATAAAGGCGGGAACTCAGTGCCAGCGGGGCCAAAGCGCGGGACCTGGAATTGTAAGGCAGGTTCAGGGTGCTTAGAGCCCTGCAGCTCTGCACCACCACCACCGAGGTCTAGCCCGCCAAATCCGGGACCTGGGTGGCCTAAGAAGCCCAGAAGCCAAGGTGATATCTGTGTGTCTCTCCTGCCTGAAGGCCCAGGTATTTTATCAGGCTCAGCAGCAAGTTCAGTAAAAAGCATGAGAGTGATAGGGGGGATCCTGGGGAGTGCACGCCATGCCAGGCTATCACAGGGGAGGAGGAGAGGGCAGAGGAGAGTGGGACAGAGTGGGGAGAGGGTGGGGGTGGGTCGGGACCACAGGCAGGCATCCACTCACACTCCATGCACATGTGGGGTTCTGCAGCAGGTTTCTGTGCTGGCAGAGCCTGTCACTATTAACAGGTGTAAGTTAGTGCAAGTACCTCAGACACACAGTTGCAGTTTTGGAAACTGTGTTGAAAGATTCTGCAGACGTGACTAAGCGGCCCCTGTAAGATACTGTCCTTAATTAACTTAGGCGCTAAGAGGCAGAAATAGAACCGTTACTATTTAATCCAGAGTTTATCATCTAGAAGCTATTGGAAAAGAGCCAAGGACGCTGTGATTTCAGTTTCCCGAATGCCACCTGTTCTACAGCCCTATTTCCTTTCTGTTCTGGTTCCCCCAAGATAGCCAGTACCAGTATAGCTTTATTTTGTGTCATAGGACATTTTTAAGATTTTAATTCCTAAAAACTCTGCTATCTGGAGCCGGATTATTTAATCTGTAGGCCTATCTGTTGACTGAGTTGATTGAGAAGAACCATTCTAAAGGAGGGTGACACCATTTTCAGGCTGTGGGTCCTAGAGGAGCCCCCTGGCTGAGCACGTGCATTCCTTGGTCTTCCTGACTGGGTGGAGCCACGTAAGTTCCGGCTGCCTTGACTTCCTGGCTCTGGTGACGCCTACTTGGATCCCTGCCTTCCTGAAGTGGCCTTTGTCTGGGCATTTTTATCACCTCGACCGGAGAGTATCAAGACACATGGCTCCTCGTTTTCTCTGCAGTATCTCCCTGTGCGCACACCCTTCGTCCCCATATTGCTGTGATGTCTCTTCACACTTTTCCCACTCTGTCTACATTTCTCCTCCTGCTTTTTCCGCAAAGGGCTCTTTCCAGACGGGTGACTTTGTTCCCTAGCTGAAGGGGAAAAGGAAAGGCATTGGAAGAATCTCCCTCCTGCCTCCCCCACAGCTATAAACCTAACCTCACCGCCAACGGTTTTCTTTTCTCCTCTTTTCTTCTTCCAGATTCTGACCCACGATCTTGTCCAGACCTTGACTCTCAGGATCCTATTGTTTCAGTCACTCAGTCTCCTCCTCCTTCTTTAAGTTCTCAGCTCCCTACTGCCTTTCTCTCATCCATGGTAAATATGGTCAAGCCTTTCCCATCTTAAAGAAAAAGCAACCTTCAACTTCTCTTCCTCCATACACATCTGCACCTCTCAGGTATTTTAAATATCCAGATAAATATAGCAATAGTATGTTGTAAAGAATCTTTCTCTTAAAGAATTTCTGTCCCACAGGGTAGCTCCAAAATAACAATATGGAGAATTCTTATTAATTATGAATGCTCGGCCTTGACAGTCTTATTTCTAACTAGCGCTTATAACTTAATTTAACCTATTTCTATTACTCTGTCGCTGCCCTGTGACTCATGGCTTTTACCTCTCCTCCTACTCTTGTACCTCAATGCTGATGACTTCACCCTGACAATTACAGTGAGTGGGTGACATTAGCTCCTCCTGGGAGCATTATTAAACTACAGAGTAATAGCCAAAGTAGTTCAGACACCTCTTTAGTGTGTTTTTCCTCCTACAGCCCATATCTCATGTAAGTTCTACTTTTATTTCCCCTCAAAACAATTTCTGAAGAGAAAGGACTGTTTTTATCTTACTTGATATTTTACTGCTTTTACAGGATATGTTTGACTTAGACTAAATATTTTCATTAAGTAGATGAATGAATTGTGTCCATGAGAGAATTAATCTTAATAAAGGTAAAAAACAAGTGTTTGGATTGTTTGACTGCAGGACCAACAGGAAAAGAAATCACTCCTTAGAGGTGATAAAGTCTCACCCAGACTTGGTCATCCGCATAAAAGATGTGACTCTCGGCGAAGAAGAACGAAATAATATGAACTCGGAGAAGAGAATGCTGGAGAAGAAAAGAGTGACAAAGGCTGCCTATGCTCTGTTAAACTCCGGAGGAGGAGTGATTGAGATACAAATGGCCAATAAGAGTGAGCAGCCCGTGGAGATGGGACAGGATTTGGAACAGGCTTTGAGAGATCTTGTCCAGTCTTCTGATTG